AAGACCAGAGTCAGTATCCTGGCTTGAGTCGGAGGCGATGTCATCATCGCTGGCCGGCACCGCATAGAACAGTAGTGTGGTGCTCCGAAGAAAATGGATGTCCTGCCCTTGACGGCGTCCGCCTGCAACGGCGACTTTGTAGGCAGGCGGCACCTCTACCTCAAACCGTGCGAGCAAGCTGGGAATGTGCAAGGTGGCGACATGGGTATGGACAAACCGAGGCTTTAGACCAAAAGGTCGAAAGTCTAGTAGCACGAAGTAGTCACGGATCTGTGACCTGCCTGTCGCTGTCTGTCCGCCTGCTGGCACATCAACGACGGTCGTCACAAAATGGCAATGCTCTCCATGCACGTTGAGATCCTGCACGGGGAATGTGCAAAAGCTCACTTCGTGCGGCTGCACATGCAACTTGCGACAGATGAAGTCGACAGGAGTGAGGCCTGGGTTGTCGTGGTTCAGAAAGAGGTATCGATTCGTACGATACATCACGCTGACTCCCTCTGAAAACTCAACCTGTGGGAAATGGTGCAAGGGTCCGAAATTCGGTCCTTCCCTAAACAGGGCATCATACCTAGGTCTTTCAAACCTGGCTTCAAGACTACGTACCACGGTGATCACTTCACCATCGCGCAGGTCAACTACAGCATGGCTCGGCCAAGGATTGGCTCGACAGCCAACGTAGATGAGGAGGGAATCACCTGCGTCATCTGTGAGCGGCAAGAGGAAGTTGACAAGTGCACTGTGGTCTAGTTGCTTGGGCAGTATCGTGGCAAAATACCGCCCTCCAACTCGAGACACGTCGATAACAACGGCACACGAGCCGTTGATGCCGTATTGTCTGATCAAGCTGGGGAACCGGATGAAAGTGGCATAACCTGGGTGCCGCTGTGGGAATGTGGGAAGTAGGGTGTCGAAGAGCCTGTTGTGGGGCAGGGGACATCGCCTACGGACAAGGTCCAGGATTGTAGCATGGTCTAGGCTGCTATCAACTTTGACGGCAAAAGACACTGTATGATAGTGAGGCGTGTAAACCGTGACTCCGAGCCATGAAGCTTCCTCGCGAGGTGTGGCCTCAGTTTGCACTTGAGAGGGTGGCCATGGCAGTTGGTCGAAACACAGCCTACTATCTGGAGGAGACGGTTCATGCTCATAGTGCGGAGGAAGCGCCGGGCTGCCTACACCAACAGGCATGTTGATGTCTTCAACAGGCTGAATGTACGGCATATATCGCTGAGCTGCCGCGGCTTCCAGGGACTCCTGTTCTTCAGCTACACCTGGCCTAGCCATTCCCTGACACCCAAGGGGACCTATGACCCAGAAAGAACACGCGATGGGGTGTAGAGCAAACCATGTTGGAGAGGCGGGGCAGGAGACAAATCCAGCAATCAGTTGAAAGAAGCTGAGTGCTGTGGTGCATATATGTCTCTGAGCCGGTCGTGTAATCTTGCGATGAGCGCGGCCTTTCCGGTCTCTCCAAGGAATCCAGGGCAAAACTGGGGCAGCAAACGTACCAACCTGTAACGCCCGAACCACCCCTATCTTAGTACCGGCGAATGGAGACAGCCGCTGGTCTCCAACAAAAGGGCGAGTGGCCTTTGATGCATAGAGCAGGGTCTTGCAGAGGGCCAGAAACAGGAGAAAGAGAAAACTCCTTGCGAAAGGCAGAAGGAAGTATTCTGCAAAATTATCCAGGATGCTCAGACACGCGGCATTGGCACCTGTCGTGGCAGCTGGTGAACACCGTGTTGGATATCCGGGAGGCCCCCTAAGCTCGGCTGTCGTCCCTGAGCTACCGATACGACTATTTAGCGCCCGAGCTTTGAAAAATTGGGGTGGGCAGCCGGCAGAATTGACGCAACAATCTGTCGGTGCTGCCGCACAGGAACTATAGTGGTTGCTCGAAAAACCACGGCAGCCAAAAGGAAAGGCGCCTTGGTGGTTATGGAACACAAAGCCTCCGCGACACTCCCCAAAGAAAAGGCGCGACTCGATCCTGGTACATCCGGCGGTCACATGAGATGGGTGGTGGAGAGGTGCGGGCATGGCAACATGGCAAAGCAGTGTTGCATGGCGGGGATCATCAGGGCTCGAAGTCCAAAACAGAGCCCAGGTGATCGAGGATAACAAAATCCAGGGCGAGGGAAGCAGGCAAGGGTCGGCAGGCACAGCCAGAGGATTCAGAACTGTACATAGGACTGCAGGCTCCCTATACACACAAGCGCCGACTGTACATGCTCTCACTGAAGGTTCCGGCTTGACGTCCGTGTCGGCGTACGAACAAGTTCCCAACCCAAGGAGTAACTGGGGTCTGCCTAACTGAGTCGAGACATCACGCTCAGTCAGGACAAACTCCGGACTCTCTAGGAGGGAGCAGGCCGTATTACGACACTTAGTCCATAGCCAGTCCAGCATCTTGATCACTCCATGTTGCTGAAGCCTGGCGAGGGGGGACCGGTCCCTGCTGTGGCTAACTCCTCGAGGTCGTCGTCCAGCAAGCCGGTAGGAGTTCTGGACGCCGAAAGGGCTGGCTGTGGCGTGGAGGCTTCGGAGTTGGCATCCACAGGCCGCACTGCTTTGGAAGGCAGGCCGAAAGGGGCAGCAGCAAGCCGGGCTGCCTGCCGTTTCGCTTTGAGCTGCTCTTGTAGGGGTGAGGCCTGCGAAGGGGCTGCGGCCTGTCCCAATTCCGATTCTGAAGGCATGGCGCTTTTGTCGCCATCCGTTACCTGTGGGGGCAAAGGAAGCCCACCCGCAGGCGAAACCATCATATTCTGTGCAGCTGACCCAAAATGGGCGAGGCTCGGAGACGACATGTATGGATCTGTGCGTGGCTGGGTCGGTGTGTCCGCCATTGATCCAGTGGCAATGGACGCCCGTGGGGTTCTCGGCGTCGATGGTGGTTGTTTCTCCGCTGCACGAACTTGCTCTAGCCCTGGAGGGACACCAGCTGAGGCGAAAGCTGCAGTGGCATGCATAATGCGTGCCAAATCTTGTGCCAATTCGGCATCGTCGAGGATTTCCACTGGTTCCTGTGTATCCATGGGAGTGGTGATCTCGGCGGCGAGTTGCGCCTCCAGGTCTGCAACAGCAACCTGACTGTTGGCGGAGCCAGCTGGGGCCGGCTCCTGTATTGCAGCATAGCGTACCCTCATGTATGCAGCAGACTGGTTCTTGGTTGCCTCTGAGATCTCGTCTGTAAGCCGCTTCTGATCTGTCTCGTGACGGGCTTTCTCCTTTGCCAGTGACTGCTGAACTGAGGTAACGTACTCGTTCCAGCTCTGCGACCTCTTGAGTGCCTCGGACTTCAGCTTGGCGATCTTGGAATCCCAGCGTCTTGCCACATTTATGGCGGCTTGTACATCCTTCACTAAGCCACCTTGCGGTGTAGTCGGGGCTATCCTCGTAGTCGCCACCTCGGCTATGCCAGGGGCATTGTGCCAACCAGCATCGTACGGTGGGAACTGTGACTTCTGTGACCGATCCGGTTGTGGCTTGCTTTTCCCTTTGGCCTTGGCCTTCGGGGAGCGCCAAGCACCAGGCCACAAACCATATGACCGCTCCGACCTTGTGGAGTCCTCTCGCCATGGCGGGTAAGGGGGCTCTCCGTTGTAGTGCTTCCCTTTTCCCCGAACCATGCGCCGGAGGTATCTGCTCTGAACCACGTCGGTTGCGTGGTGTGTAGCCAGGAGCAGGCACTGGCGTGCTGAGGGCCTCTGTCCGCGTCGGAGGGCCTCTCTAGCTTTAGCTCTGCGCGCCCTCAATCGGCGATGCCACCCAGGGGAACCACGGTCGGCAGCGATATTGGTGAAGGGCAAAGCGGGACGTGTGCTTTGCACACTGGGGCTCGACAGCTATCAGGCGCTATTGCCTGTCTTCTGGGCCCTGGTCCAGAGCTTGAGGAACTAAACGAAACAACAGACATCACAGTATGGAAACCTGCACCATAAGGAGTGCGAGTACACAGTTTGCAGGCATCTAAATTACCTGGGGAGCTCTGCAAGCTGACATCAGAAGCTTCCGGCAATCAGATTTACAAACAGGGTCGCTCAATGTAGCCTCCTATCTGCAGGGGTTTCGGAGACCTTGCTAGACGATTGGGTTTAAAAGTTTTAGGGTTTGGGGCTTCGGCATTTTGGGTCGGGGCTTGGGAAACCCTCGGCAAGCTCCTAAAGCCTGCAGGCGCCATAGTTTCCGTAAGCCGGCAGGGGATCCTAGATGACAGCCAGGATTGGGGCCCAAGGTTCTGTCCAATGCTGGTGTTTTGCCTGCGGACTATTGGTGGTAGACCCTGGGCCGATCTCGACGCGTCCCAGCAAATCATGTCGCACGTGCGGAACTCCCGAAAACTGGAACCCCTGAAAATGACATACCCATCCATAGCTAGAAAAACGTTCCACTGTGTCAGTGTAGTGCCCCAACAGGCTTGAAAGTTTAAACGCTTCAAGTGAACACAAAAAAATGAAACCTTCAACTTTGAGCTGAACCTTCGACATTGAACGAAACTACTTCCAAAACCACACTCCTGATCGCTTCACGATCATCGTCCTCACGTTTTGCCCTACATCTTCCAAAACGCCACGACAGGCTCAAGTCCAACATCCTTACTTCAGATCATGGCGAGCTGAGGGTCTGGCGCACGCGCGAATTTGTGTGTGTGTGTGCGCACTGGAGTGTGTGTGTGTGTGTGTGTGTGTGTGTGTGTGGATGTATGTGTGCACTGTATGTCTAAGGTCTCGGCAAAAGGCCTAAACCCCTTGAAAAGCCCGGCTAGCAACACATCATCCGCGAATCAAAGCCCAACAAGCCACGTTCAAACCCGAGCCTGAGACCCTCAACCCAACCTCGAGTGCTAAGACGACAAATTTCGTGCCAAACTGAACCATAATCCCCCTAAACTCAAGACCAACCCTAAAATCCCGAACCCTAAACAAACCCCGGAAAAGCCTAGCGGCCCCCCCGGTCCCAAAACCCTAAAGGGCCAAATCCCCATTCCTCCAAGCGGCCAGTTCGATGCTTTCGCAAAGCCGGACTGGGCACGCGAGTGGCATCTCCATACCCGCGTCAGAGCATGCTGCCTTGGGTTTCGGTTCATTTCAGGAGTTCGGGACGTACGGTTGGCTCAAGGGTTATACGGTTGAAGGATTACGGTTTAGGGGGTCTCGGGAAAAGTGAACACAACCATGAGAGCCCCAAGACGGTCCAATCGCGACTCACGACGTTAATCAACACCGCGCCAGTTGCCGATCAGGCTGCTCATTCCATTAATCCTGTTGGTGCTGAAGGTGGTGATCTTGATTGGCGATGATGTTATGATGTTGATGATGATGTTCATGGTGACGATGGTGATGGTGATGATGATGACGATGATGGCGGTGAAGGTGATGATGGTGTTGATTAGGAAGGTGAAGATGATGCTGCTGCTGCTGATGCTTACGCTGACGCTGCTCTGCTGTGGCCGCTGCTGTTTCTGGTGCTGGTGCTGGTGCTTGCTGAGGTAGATGCTGATGCTACTGCTGGTGCTGATGCTTATCAGGATGCTGATGCTGATGCTGACGTGATGATGCCCAACCAGAGCACACGTATGGTCAAGACGAAGATGATAGCCACCTATCTGCCAATATGGTACCGCAGCGGCAGGATAAAGCATTGGTAATGAGTGATACTGGTAATGAGTGATATGAAATATACTTTTAACTGCTAATGCCAGAAGCAATGACACTGACAGTGAAACAGCACGACGCATCGGGTTATCCTATGACTGGCATGACATAAAGCCAAACGGAACACCCAACCCCGCGCAAGCTCTCCTCATCCTTCTACTGAAGCTTGCAGGGATAGAAAGGAGATGTGACATGCTCGCATACTGCGAGACCGAAGGGGCTAAAAAAGAGCAATCAGCACGATGGTAAGGTTTGGACACTCGGACCACAACCAGCTTCATAGAAGAAGGGACTTCTTTTGCAGCACGGACACGTCGACTCGAGATGTGCCCAGTAGCCCTCTCTTGTGAAGTACTGCACCTGAGTTGGAGTGCAATTGGTATGGCTTGGGACGAGACTTCACTTCGGACGTGGTCAAGATTAAGGGCTTTTAGTTTTTAGGGCTTTGCGATTTAAGGTTCGGATTTTTGAGATCTTATGTCGTAGTCTGTAGGATTTTGGCTTGAAGGTTAAGGGTTCCAAGGGCGGTGGAGTATAGAGATTGAGGGATCCTAGCAGCCAGGCTCTGTACTCGGGGGCTTAGGGCGCACTTCCTATGGGCTTTGGTTGACGCACGGTGTAGGATGAATCTCCCACCAGACCAGAGTCAAGAGAATCTGTGACATGAACGATCCACGCGACGGCTAAGGTCGGCAAGGCAATGTGCACACCATTCCTGCCGCCTCTCCATTTGGAAGCGGCGGCTAACGTCAGCATGAGTCCAAACTACGCCTTAACCCGGTGCACCCATGCCAAAGGCACTCGCACGAGAGCTTTGGGGTTGAGCTGGAGGGCGAACGAAGCCATTTGGTCAAGCAGATACCTTAGAAAGTGGTTACCGCGTGAGCCGGTTTGGCTGCAACAAAACAAAACAGCAGTTGTTGCATTTGGTACCCGTATTTGGAGATTTACTTTTCTTACCTGCTACATGGTATGCTAGTGCCAGTGCTCAAGCCCAACATGCTCTTTCATAACCCAATGGTCAGTCTATTAGCAAAGCCCTGACAGCCCTGAAGTTCCCACGAAGATCGCTGCCCGGCCTGGCTAGGGCTTTGGGGTTTTGGGGGTTGGCGGCTTATTAGGTTGGATGTTTTAACCGCTAGCCGGAGGCCCACTCGAAGAGCCACGGACCACCCCAAAAGCATTCTCAAATCCTACAACCCACACTGACATAGTTTTTGTCGGGTCGCTATCTTACGTTGCAAGGTAAACCGAGAAGCCTGCATAATCTCCCGCCCTGCAAAACCTGAAGCCTTCGTGTCGGATCTGGGTTTAGGGTCGAATTTTGAGTCTAGGCTTCAAGGTTTCGGGACTCGGGCTTAAAGCTTTGGGGCCAGTACTCCCCCCCCCCCTCGCCCTCCAAACACCTTTCAGCTGGGGTGCCAGGTGAACTCTCCGGGCCTGGGTTGCTCCTGCTGGGCGCTTCAGATTAGGGTTCCTTTAGGGGTGGCCAAGAGGTCACCTGACCTTACGGAAGTCTCCCCTTGTCTCCAATACGCTCACTTTGGAAACCACACCAAACAAGCGCAGTCTGGGCGCTGCAGAGTTTAGGGTTTCGGAGTGCAGTCTAAGGCTTCATGGTTTTGCAGGGTTTGGGTCATGGTTTTGGGAGGTTGGGGTCTTTGGTCTCGGTTTAAGAGCATGTCAAGGTTCATCTTGACCGGGATGCTGAACCGAGTGCTCTGGAGTTCGGGGCTGAGACTGTCACATGGGGTTTCGGGGCACAATATACGATGATTGTATGGCGACGAAAGATAATGATCAGACCGCATCTCGACGAGGTCGAATACGACAGGGTAGTACCCAGTTTCGAGGATCAGGTATGGAAGCTTGAAGCCTTATAGCCGAGAGCATTACAACTAGCAAGTTAGTACTCCCCAGTCATCCCCAGTCTTACCCGGAACCCTGAAGCGCAGCCTGAGTAATGGACAACGCATCAGATAACCCCATGGTCCTTTCAGGATAAGGCCTGCGCAATTACCAATCGTAGCCTCGTGGCGATTCCTCAAAACATGTGAGAGGGCTGCATTTGCCAGAGTCTTTCCCAACGGCGCATAGTGTAAGTTTCCGAATTTAGGGTTTTGGACTTCTAGCCGAACCTCAGATCCTAACGTCCGACTTCTCTGCACAGCCCCTGACTTCAATCACGAAGTAGCTTCCTTCCCAAGGCCCGCTTGAAAGCAAAAACACCCAAAGCCTATAACCCCCCAAGGCTTAAAAGCTCGGAGTCCCTAGACTTCGTGAGTACCCGGGTACCCTTCCTTCCCAAACTCTGAGTGTCTAAGATGCACCCTGAACCCAGCCTGGCCCTCAAACTCTGAACAGGATTGAAAGGGGTTTTTAACAAGACTATCGTGAAGGCATTTCCAAAGTATCCCACACTTCCACCTTGCAAGCCTTGAGCTAGATTCGATGGAGGTAGATGGTGGCATCCGCTCAAAGCCCTCAATCCCCAAGAGACCCTCTCCACACCCAAAAAAGGAGGCCTCAGGGAAAGGTCGCGCCCCCTCCGGCAGAGCTTGGATCTCGGCGGCCAGCTCGTCCTTGACGCCTTCGTTTGCGTAGGCTTATAACGGATTATAAGGGCTTGTGCTGAGGACCTTCCTCGTCGGCTCAGTGCTGACGTAGGGTTGCGATTTTGGGGATTGAAGTTTTAGTGTCTTGCATGCTGCAGGACCCGAGGGTTCAAGGCTTTCCCAATGGGTTCAGGGTGAAATGGTCTGGGTCGATGTAGCACGGTGTCGAATGTGTAGGGCAGGGTGAAAGTTTCGGGTGGGGTTTAGGATTTGGGGTGTAGGATCTGAAAACCAAACTTTGCTAGGCGTGGTTTCAGTCGTCATAGTTGTCAGAGCAAGAACAGCGGGACCGATGCCCGGTCAGAATGTCATAGTGACGATACCCTGACCCGACGAGGGGCCGAACGCTACCAGCCGATGGCCCGCTCGGAGGCCGCCCGGGTGCATCTTGTTCTTTTTCGGCTCCGCGACCTTTCGATGGGATCTCTGCGAAAAGATCTCGGGCTGTGCTGGGTTTTGTGACTTTGCAGACAGGGTCTTGTCGGATTGGGAGAGGTTGCTCAACAGCTTCAGCGGGATCAACGATGACTTGTAAGGTCTTACGGTGCTCGAGGCTAGATTGGCTGAGCGCAAGCGCTAGAAACGCTAGACAAGTCTTCTGGTGCTCCATCTCGATAAAAGCTGAGCTGGCTCGCCATGAAGGTCCGAGCGCACGCGCTCACGCAGAACACGCGTAAGCATCCTCATATGTATGTAGGCAACTAAACAAAAAATGAAAAATGCATGCACAAATACATACATATATGTATATAATTACGAATTTGAAACATGTGTGGGTGTTTGTGTACAGAAAGGCCAGAACGTGCCTGCTGCCACTCTGCAAGCTAAGCTCATTCCGTTCAAATCCGCATGCCTGATAGGCTGAGGCTTGCCCATCCGGTTGCCATTTCTCCTGGTGCTGCTTTGGCGAGCCGACTCTGCACATTGAGGGGGTATAAAGAGCGTGGAGATTGGTCTTGATGGCTGGCTTTCTGGGTTGTTGATCCTTTGCACTCAGTTTGGAGTTCGAGATTAGCGTGTACGTGGAATCTGGGGCGACGTGTCAATTTCGAACCCTGTGCTTGGAGTTTAGATTTTGCAGTCGTTACTCTAATAAGTGATGCATTCTGGGAGCTGAACACAGAGAAGGCTTGCGCTATACAATCCTCGTATTCACTGGCCTCCCTCACCTTAGCAACGGCCATGATTGCTTTCGACCAATTATCGTGGATTGGATTCTCAAACCTGTGATGCCTTGGGTCGAACCCGGGGTGCTGTCGGAGAAGGGGGATTAGCGTTGAGGGGCCCAGGATCATACTCATCCTATTGCTCGCCAGCTATGGACCGAAAAAAGTTTCGCACTCAGGAGCAAGGCTGGGCTGTGGGACGCCGGCTAACTTGAGGCATCATTCGTGATCATAGCTCGAAGTACGGCCGACACAGGAGGCTAATTTCAGCAGGAGGCGCCGCCGCCGGACGTCCTCTAAATCTTCAAAGCCCATCATAACCAAGGAAGCAGCCTCAAGCTACAAAACCCTCCAAACACTTCATCCTTAACCTCAAAACCTAAGCAAGCTCTGAAAACCTAAACCCGAAACTCCTTAACAGTTGAGAAGAAACACTGGGAAATCCCAAGCATGCTATAATTCGAAGCTCGCAATACCCTTGGAGATCAATTGAGGGTCTAGTAAAGGGAACTCCAGAAAGTTGGAATATGGATTAGTGGTAGGATCCCCTATAATTTACCTTAAAGGGGTTACGATAATGATATTCCAACTTTCTGGCTTCTACTGTAAGACCTGAAACCCAGGAGGAGGCCAGGGCTCCACCAAGGCACGCAGATCTCCCAGCACCATTTCACACTCCTGGCTTGACTGCCTTTGAGCCCCTTAGATACCTGATCATACTGAAGTTATAATGCATAACCCCTTGGGGTTTGGGATAACTAAACATACGGAATAACTCCTAGGGGACACCCAGTTGGGCTGGATCGAAGATCCTCGTGGCTTTGTTGAGAGTTTCAGGGCTTCGGGTTGCGGCTTCATCGGGTTTGACTGTATAGTGATTATTGTATGAGGGGACTGTTGCATTAGAAGCCATGCACGGATCAAGTTTGCCGCATGCCCTAAACCCCATGACCTAAACTCTATAGACTCTAGACCTTAAGCACGTGCGGTAAAGGACATGCGAGAAGTGCTCTATGGTATCAGGGCCATTTCATGGCACCATCTGTGTCAAGCCACTCTCCCACCCGAAACCCAAAGCCCAAACCCGATCAGGAAATCCTCAAGCTGTCTGAATGCAAGTCTGTGGATCCCAACCGGACTACCTGACCCCCACTCCTGATGTCCTAAAGCCTGAAACCCTTAACGCCGTTATTCCCGGCAATTGCGTCGCTAGGGAGTTTGTCGTTTGTTCATCCAGAGCTCCCTAAGAGCGTCTAGAGCGAGAGCTACGTGCCCTAAGGCCCTAAGGTACTTGTATCCCTTTGCATTACTGCAGTTCCAAGGCCAATACTTTGATATGAGTCCTCCGAGCCAGAAATGCAGGTGTCCCACAGTTGGTAGACCACTTCCTGCACGGGTCTGGCAGTCTACTCCTCCGAGATTCCTTGCAAAGGGCCCGACACCTGAACAACCACCAATGCCCGTGAATATGCTGGTTCGGTTGACGACGTAGGTTCTGGGGTCGAGGGTGGGGGGTCATTGCGAAGGGGCTGGGTTCAAATGCCTGGGCTTTTCATACAGTTACACTTGTATACAGCACAGTTTGTGAGGCTGGGAACAATCAACGTAAGGCGTATGGATGGATCCTGTGAAGCCGTGTCTGGTAGCCTCTTGAAGAATTGAACGCTACCGCCGGCTTTCCAATCCCGCTGAAGTCCTGCATGTACTTGTCACCTTCGGTCTCCCACTCCTCAGGGTTTGAAGTCACAGGGTTCAGAACAGCCTGAACAATCCAGAGGTGTTGGGCTGCTTGGATGTTCTTGCAGTCGGTGCTTGGACGGTCGGTGGGCAAAGCCAAGATGACTCCGAAACACTGCAGCTTGTGTCCGAGCCCTGTTTGTCTTCGCTCTGCCCCGAAAATCCGGCCTGAAGCTCAATTGCTTGAATGACATTTCAGGTGAAGGTCCCAGCAAGGGCTTGAGGTTTGGGGCTTATGCGCAACATGTGCAGCACTAAAGGCATCAAAGGAACCTTCCACTCTTGGCTCCGTCTGTGTTGTTCCTTCATCTGCTCCTCATGCGATGGTCTTCTAGGGTCTGGGGTGAAAGGATTCAGGGCAAGCCCTCCAGGTTCTGGGCGGCCTTGGGCAGTCAAGCCATGCGTGGCAGTTAGTAGAAAATCATGGCCATACTGCGACGAAAGGTAACTGCGCAGTTCTGACACAAATTATGATAGCTGATGAGAGCTGGCAGTATCAAGGAGCACCAGAAAAGGGAAGGCACATGCTTAGAGCTATCACGCCCAACGCAAAGCCTCCGGCAAGTTTAGGGCTTTGGGGTGTTGCAGTTCCTGGGTTTAGGATCGGAACCCTGCGCCTGCCAGGCATCGTCTTGCTGCCGCTGTGCACGAGACAGCTCGTTCTCGGCATGCTGAATGCTGGGAGCCTTCATCGGTCTGAGGTGCTGAAGCAAGAGGGATCCCATGTCCCAGTGATACCTAGCAACTCCCAAGTCCTGAACCCCGGAAGCTCATCCGACCCTAAGCCCTCAGCATCACACCGAAGTTGTTCTGACGAAGAGGCCCTTTGTCCGCTGAAAATGCCATCGACTTGAACAAGGCTTGACCCAAGAACCCCAAACGGCTAAAACGTAAAACCTAAACCGAAATCTAGACCCTAAACCTAAACCCCATCAAACCCGCGCATTCTAAAAGGCTGCTCCCAATATAGAAGTCTGACTCATTAGCTTATCTTCTCTAAGGCAGTCCACCGTGATATGATGCAAAGCCCCTATTCAATGAGGCCTGTATTCTAACCCTTCCAAAAACCTGTAAGTCCGCGCAAGGCTCCTAGACAATAAACCGGCCTCCACACGCCAGAGACCTCTGATCTTTCCGCTGCGCTGGGCTCCAAGTAGGATCTTCGCCACCTGCTCCTCCAGCGCTACTGTTTTAAGTTAGGGGCTGCAATGTTTCAACACGGCTAACTGGCTAACTGGCTAACTGTACAGGACCTTAGACGAGGCCAGACTATGCACTTCTTGCTGCTCTGCAACCGAAAGCAGCATCTCACGTACCAACGTCAGAAGATGGCTTCCAGAAAGTTACAGGTCAGGCTTCCGGGCTAACAGCGGAATTCCACCCTAAAGAGCCAAGTCTCGGCCAAGGCCAGGCGACCCTCGACAGCCCAACGCCCAACACCTGATTCTGGAAGCCACCTTGCAAGCACCGGGTTACACAAGGCAAGGGCTGTCAGCAAGAAGTTGGACATCGCGGGGCTCGTACTCCTTGCACTCCGACCCTGTCTCAATGGATCAAGCTGACTAACAGGCATACCCAAAACAAAAAATTGAAAACACACTTGATGACGGCCCTCCGCCGCCCGCCCCCGCTTCCGCCGATCAACTCAATAACACCAAAAACCTCCACGCTTCGTGTAGTCTTCATGTGCGCCAGTTGCAGCTACTGCTCAACTCCGAACCCTACCATCGAACTGGCCAAGGCACCTCCACTCCACATCCTCCATTCCTCGCACAGGCAATCACCCTTCCGAATGACATGTCCAAACCCGCCGAGGCTTCGGTGTCCAGATTTGCCCCAAGACTTACCTTTGGTTAGTAGGGAATGGAGGAATGGGGTACAACAATAACTACTATTACTACCATTCTTCCATTCCCTCCTAACCAAAGGTAAGAAGAGTGCCGCGAAGACCCGGTCCGAGCGCCCTGCTGATGCCCAAAAAGCCTTGAATCCACCAACAAATTCTACAAGGCGTAGACAGGGATCGTAAAGCTTGAGCCCTAAACCACTGGAGCAAGCTAAGCTTCGAGGGCCTCGAAGCCATAAATATCACCCACCATCCCTAAAAAACCCTCAATCCAACCTCCCTAAGCCCTGAAGCCGTAAGGCCTCTAAATTCTGGAAGGGCACCGCCGTCAATGCGACCCCAGAAAGGCACTGAGCTGAACCCGGTCCTTTCGGTGGTGGGTGGCGCTCCACGAAGGACGTAAGGTCATCCTGCAAGCATGCCCCGGCATGCACACATCCCCCAAACCCAAATCTGGTGTACGCACTCCGGGTTCCAATGGCTCCTCGTTTCAACAGGATCTTGAGAAGAACCCCGAAACTCTGCTACTTACACATTACAACCCCTTTGAAAGCCCCTGTTCTCTAAACCACAAACATCCTAGAATTCTTTCGAAGGACCACAAACATCAGCCCCCTTCAGGAGAAATCCTACTTGCCCCAAAACGTTGGAAAACCGTAACTGATCCCCTGAAACTCTGAATCCTTCAGCCGGAAACTTGAAAAGGGAGAGCTTTATTTCAGTCTCTTTCTTTATATCATGTGTTGTCCTTCTGTCTCTGCCTTTGTTAACTCCGCATGTCCTGTTATTTGCAGCACACGGTGCAAATCTGCTCCCGCGTCGATTTATTTACACAGGATGCTTGCTGCGTGTGTCTCCCCCTATGCTGCAATGCATACTCTGCATCATTTGAGGGGCCTGAGGCTTCTACATGCTGGAGACAGTACTCAATGTAAATAGGCCGATATGGACCACTCCTTGCTTGTGGAAAAAGATTGAATGACAGCAGTAATACTTGGGGGAAAGGATTTACGGGCTTCCTTTGGATTCCGTGATCCAAGGGAGCAAGCACAAGTCCGGTGTTCCCGAAACGTACCAGCAACACCATGTGTGTACGTGTGCAGATGTATATACATATATATATACACACACATATTATCACATATACATATATATGTATGTATATATACATATATATATATATATATGTATGTATATATATATATACATACATATACATATGTATGTATGTGCGTATGTATGTATGTATGTATGTATGTATGTATGTATGCATGTATGACATCGATGTCTACATACAAAGCTCTGAACCTTTCTTTCGTTATTGCTTGCTTCAGTTATTGCTTTGTCCTTCTTTGCTGCTTCTTTCGTTCTTGTTTCTCGCTGTGTCGCTATTTTGTTGATTCGTTCTCTCTTTGTCTCTGGTTGTTTCTTTCTCTGTATTATTTCTTTCTTCCTGTCTTGTTCTGTCTCTGTGTCTTTCTTTCCGTCTTCCTGTGCCTGTTGCGTTCTTTCTTTCTTTCGCTCAGGTCCACCACGACAGAACAACAGCAACAAAACAAAAACAAACGACACATACCGAACAAACGCGCCCTCCGAATTGAAACAGTTCAAGCTCACGTCCCTTGCAGTCAAAATACCGGCATCATGGTAACCTAAACCCTTGGCTTGCTCCACTCTGGATGTGCCAAACTGAACGTCTGTCCAGACAGAGAGCATCCCATGGGGGTCTTGGGGCTTTCTTCCCACAGGATTCCGGGGCCTTAGCGTGATTGGAAAAAAGCTCCTTTCAGTGTTCTACAAGAGTTCTGCACTACGGGGTTGAACCCCGAGCACTTAGTCCCAAGTGATCATGGTCCAACCCGCGCAAAATTCCCCTGCTTCTGCATGATTCTAGGCCGATTGCGATTAAGACCACGAGCCCGGGTTTCTCGACCTCAGAAGCTTAGCAGATAAACTTGCGACTTAGCCATCAATAACAGCATCTCTAAACCTGAACTTCAAACATCTGACAACTCTACAAACCCTAAAGACACTCCTCCAGGCCCTGCGCAGCTTCGAATTCCTCCGCCTGCAGGACAGCGTAGTATGAAAATGATGGAGGTTCCTAAGCTTAGGTGCTGTCGATCCTGCAAGCTTTCTGCATCATCCCCCTGAACCCTCAACCCTGCAATAGGAAAACTCCAAAACCCCTGGTTCAAACCCTGAACCAGGACCAGTAGTCCCGTTTGGCTCTGTGAAGCTAAGCACGTCGTAAAGGACCCCCCCCCACAAGTCTCGACCTCGGGAGCCCCTCCGCCCTGCGCACCGAAACCATCATGTCATGTAAACCCGCTGTTTAGGGTTTAAGGCTTGTAAACCCCCGCTATCTTCAATCGCCTTAAGACAAGGATCCTTCGTGTAAATGTGCCTAAAAGCTATAACGAGGCCTGTAGCCTTTGGTGGGCAGGGGTTTATGACCGCATACAACCTTAGCAGGGGGTTGCGATTAGATTTAAATCTTTTGTGCCATAGTCATAGTCCAAACCTTACCAGGGTTCGGCATGTAGGGTTCGGGTTTAGCATGTAGGGTTTTTGATCATCATGCAACCTTACCAGACTTCAGTGCTTAGTTTAGGGTTTGGGGTTTGTACTAAAATGAGAGCCTTACTGCTAGTGGATGAGCGTGTGTAGTTTGGGTTTCTGGTGTATAGGGGTCATGCAGTGTTTGGAGCTTACGGCTTAAAGTTTAAGGAGTTTGGGCTGGCTGCTTGTGGAGAAACAGGCAGAGTTCTCAAAGAAGCGATCCGTCGCAACAGTGAAGCACCTGAAGACAAGAATCCCAGGTCCTAGATTCCACAAGCTCCTTGCTCCCGCCTCCTCTTCTTCGCGCTGCCTCTGTGCTGCGAATTCGTCGCGCTTCTGCTGCGCCACCTGCGGAAGCCAATCACTGTAAGGCCACTGGGTTTGGAGTCCGTGTGTTAAGAGTTTCGGCTTGAGATACCTGTCCTCTACTCGCCTGCACTCCTAAATCACGACGCTGACTCCCACATTGCACTACATTGCTGCCACAGCGCTGCAATGCCAATCGCCGTAGTACCCGCTGATGAATGGCTACTGCAGTACTTTCAGCCCCTTGCCAGGCTACTGATGGCTTGCTGCTAGACATTCGCTACGCTGCTACGAGGCTCCACAGTCCAGCTGACCATGACCGACCTCAGTCATCGATTGGGATACTGCGCCAAGAGGCGCGCATGGCAACTTAGCAAGCATTCAACAAGTACCAGGCCGGGAAGATAGCAGCTAGTGTCCAGTTGTCTTCACTTGCCAAGCAAAGCTTTCCCTGACATTCTGTGTAGAGAAACCGCACAGAATGTGCAAAGTATCTTAAAGTCCGAAAGTGGCGGAGACACAAACCTCCTGACCCCAAAAGCAAAGCTCGGAAATCAGTCAGAACGTAGTGATCTGGGATGCTGCCCGGCACTGCAAACCATGTGAAACCCCCTTAGAACTAGCCGATACCGGTGGAATCTGTGTGCACCCTGGGACCGAAGCACAGAGCCTCGAGCAACCTGTCCAGACCATGAGTTCGCGCATTGTGGTCGGCCTCGTCGAGGGGCTTACGGTTTTCAGGTTGGGGACTTGAGTCGAGGGCTTGAGGTTGCAATGCAACCGGAGACTCCCAACATGTTGCAACCTGTGTCTGAACTGCTTCGGGCTCTTCCAAGCAGGTCTAAACTGGTACACTTAGAGCCAGTGGTGGCCTAAGATGTCGTGTTGACTCTGCGCGTCGTCTTGGGTTGGCTTCCACATCCGACAAATGCGTTGATGCCCGAGTAGAAAAATGACTTGGCCCCTGCACTTGTGACCAGACTTGGTCAGCAGGCTTGGCAGTGATCGTTCCACCTACACTCTCTCCACAACTTCATGTCGCCCACCCGAGGCCGACTGGTTTTGTCACTCCGATCACAACATGAGTCCGGCATTGCCTGCACTGCCGGCTTCGATAGTTTTTCCCGACACATTCTGTACCGACACCGGAGAGACCGACCACTACCGCTGCTGTTGTTGTTGTTGGGCATTCGGACTCAGGATGTTGGGGTTCGGTTTTAGGCACTGTAGCTCCAAGACCTTGGATGTTTTCAGGTTTTCGGGACCGACAGGTTATAACAGGTTTAGGATGCTTAGCTTCAGCGGTGTCAGACTTTCGGCCACTGCTGCAAAGTATGCCCTCAAGCTGCAACAGCATCATAAACAAAGTATATTTCAATCGCACGAAGGAAAGCCCTAGGTTGAAGAATGTCAGCGAAAGAACGGTAATCATGGGGTGAAACACCCACAAATCCCAAACCCCCATACCCCTGGGAACCGGGCAGCAAACCTGTTGACGCAAGCAGCCACTTCGCAGAACCCGCTAGGATTGATGTTGAGAGCAAAGAGCTGCAGCGCCTGTGTGGGGAATGCTTTAGCGGAGTTTAGGCTTTGGGGTTCCGACTTGATTTAGGACGGGGGAGCGGGAAATAGCGTGATTGGAGCTCGGCTTAGATCGAAACGCTTCTGCTTAGGGGTTCAGGATCATACCAAAGCTTCAGGAACGGACTCCACACTCAACCGGATCACAAACAGTTCCCAAACATCGACAAATGATTTGGAAGACGGAGACAGCTCCAAAATCAGGGCGCAGTCTCGGCTCAAGAACAGCAAGTCTGAGTGGGCATGGTATGTAAGCAAAAGGAAACTCAACGACAAAAGCTTACAATTAACAGAAGGATCATAAACGGTGTCCGACTCTAATCAGACTCCCCCATGAGCCGCGATCAATGTTATTACAAGGCAACTCAAGGACATGGCCCCTCAACAAGGTATCCGAACGTGACTGTGTTTGTATACACATGTCCACTCAGATGCAAACACATACATGCATAGACCGTTGTCGACATAAAGGCAGGCTTGAAGCCCGAATGCAACCTTCAAACCCCGAAGGCAACATTTTCGAAACTATGCTGGCAATCTCAAACTTCCTGGGCGGCTTCGGGGCTGAGGCTTTCAGCATTTCATGTAGTTTTGATTGAGGCTGTGTTAGCCATGTTGATAGGGTGTTAGCGCTGTGGCGCTCAGGACTGTTTGTCCCTTTTGGTACATGACCTGCCTGCCTTGAACTGCCACAGCCCCAGCACGTTGGTGCCCGACTGTCTGGTGTAGATCCGGAACCAGTCCTGTTCGCTTCCAGACGAACCCAGATCCTTGAATGATCCCAATGATCACAAGCGACTGGTTGTACAGCATGCACAATGTGCAACGCAACAATCAATAGCGGAATCGGTGCTGCTGGCAGTAGTGTCGCGATAGCAGTGGTCGTGAGGCCATCCATACTAATCAAGATTGACCTTCTTCATCATGCGTCCACCTCTCCTGCTAAGACCACGACGACGACGACGACTACACTACTACTCCTACCGCTACTGATCCTGCTACTGAAACAAATAACACCAAGAAGAACAATAGAGTAACATGAACACGAACAACAACACAACCAGTCATTAGCAACAGCAGGAACAAGGTCAACAACAACAGAAACAATAATGAACGAAACAACGTGACAACGACATCATCATGATCATCATCATCATCATCAACAACAACAACACCAGCACCAACACCAGCTGCAACAACAACGACGACGACGAAAACAACAACAGCAGCAACAACAACCACAACAACAACAACAACAACAACAACAACAACAACAACCACAACCACAACGACAACGACAACGACGTCGATGACGATGACGACGACAACAACAAGAACAACAGTAACAGTAACAGCAAACAGTAACAGCAACAGCAGCAGCAACAGCAAGAACAAGAACAACAACAACTGCTACTACCACTACTACGACGACGACTACTACTCCTACTCCGACTCCTACTCGGAGTAGTCCTACTACTAGTACTCCTTACTACTACTGCTACTACTACTACTACTACTACGACGACTACTACGACTACTACGACTACTACGACTACGACTACGACTACGACCACGACTACGACCACGACTACGACTACGACTACTACTACTACTACTACTACTACTACTCCTACTACTACGACTACTACTACGACTACGACTACGACTACGACTACGACTACGACTACGACTACGACTACGACTACGACTACGACTACTACTACTACTACTACTACTACGACACGACGACGACGACGACGCCGACTACTACTACTACTACTACTACTACTACTACTACTACTACTACTACTACTACTACTATTACTACTACTACTACTACGACGACGACGACTACTACTACGACGTAGCTATTACTACGACGACTGCGACGAAGACAGGGACGACGTCGACTTCTATGGTTTTGCGACGACCACTAGGACGAAGACGAGGACGAGCACGAGGACGACGCCCGCAAAATCGACAAGTGGATTTTGAGGCAAGCGGATTTTCGTGAGACGTTACGAAATTTTTCGCGCGCCCCTCCCCGCCCTCCCCGCCCTCCCCCCCTCCCCCCCCAAAAAATAGGAATAAAGTTGGTTCTGGGGCTGGGGCTGGGGCTTGTATAAGGGTTGGTTCTAAGACCTATATCATATCATTCTCCTAACCTCATCCATTCTCTTACATGTCCCCCTGCTTCGTTTTCATCATCATCGTCACCTTATCCGTTATCATTGTTTTGCCCCGCTCCTTCATTCCTTCCTTCCTCCCATCATCAACATCGTCACCTCATCCGTTTCTCATCATCATTTTTATTTAAGTACTTTTTCATCACATTTTTTCATTTCTCAACATCGTCCCCTCACTCGTTTTCATCCTTCGTCATATCGCCTCACCCGTTTTCTGGGACTAGCCCACCTCAAAGACTTTACCAAAGATTTATAATAAATTAATATTATAAATATTTGTTTAGGCTTTACCATTTCCGAGAAGACTTGAAGCCGTGACGACTTCTTCATCAACATCTACGAGGTGCGCCTTGCATGTTTTATTGAACTGGTGCTTCAGTCAAGTTGTTCTAAAGAACCGCTCAGCAACCACATACATTTATTCTGCAGTCATTTTCGGATTTCAGTGATTGCATTCGTTCCTCTACCTCTCCAGCTTTAGCAATGTCTGGTGATGGTTACGAGAATGTTGCAGATGCCACAGCCTCCTCTGCCACAGCCTCCGCTTCCGCTCTCCCCCCAGCTCCTACCAAAGAAGCCACTTACCATGTTGAGAAGGTGAAGCTTGATGTTCTCCGCAAGATGCTTGATGATGGTGATAAAACCACGCTGGACGTCTTCACAAAGGAGCAAATCCCAAGCGAGATTGAGAAGATGAAAACCTCCATGAAGAAGCTGATGTCCTCAATCATCTACCTTGAGGAGAAGCTTGACAAAAAGACGACCACGACGACAAAGCCAACAGGGGATGACATCAACGTCAATGTTGTTTTCAAGGACAAGATGGCGCGTGTCAATTTGAAGGACAACATGAGCATCAGCATCATGAAAGAGACGCTTTTCAATGTCATGAACATCCTGCCAAGCGAGGGCAAGAAGCTTCGTGTCTTCAAAAAGGAGGCTGGTGAGAAGGAGGGCGATGAGAAGCTCACAGAGTTCGGACACTTCAACGGCAAGGGCAACATCAAGAAGCACGGTATCACCTTGGTCACAGGCGACACCGTTAAGATTGCCTCCTAGTTCTCTTTCTCAAAGCACCTCTCCGCTTGACATCTGTAAGTCATTTTTGGTGCGACAGACGTCATGTAAAGATGGAGAAGCATGAAGAAGTCCAAAAAAGATTTACACAGTTTCAGCCGTCTGAATACATGCTAAGTCAAGTGAGCCTGTCAGACATGTCATCTGTTGAACAACCTTGATTGAAGCAGGACTTGAGCGACCTTGTCTATGTCCATAGCATTTGTGCTTGAAGATTTGTGACTTCTCAATCCTTTCCCTGTCTGCTTTCAATCCCGATGAAGAAGGTGCAGAAGAAAATCTTGAAGCGAGATGACAGGGTGAAGGCTTTGAGCGAACGCTCAATAAAGACACTCCGGAAGAAGATGGACCATGATGAACCTGAAGGTGACATCCCCGCTGAAGTTCGTGATTTTCTCTCTGGCATTAAAAGAGCCGTGGATGAGTTCAACAACGAAGCGGGACGAAGTGACACAGTCATAAAGAATGCCCTG